CTGCCGGGTTGGTCCCTGCAGTGCCGAGGTGCGGCGCTGCGGGGACCTACCCGGCAGCGCCCCAGCTGCTCTGTCCCAGGCCTCCAGATTAAGCCGCTGTTGAAACTGATCAGCAGCTGATTCCAGGAAGCCCGGGGCAGAGCAACTCTCCTCCGGCTTCCTGTAGTCAGCCGCTGGTCATTTTCAGCAGCGGCTGAATCTGGATGCCAGTTCCGACTTACATACAAATTCAACTTAAGAACAAACCTATAGTCCCTATCTTGTACGTAACCCGGGGACTGCCTGTATACATGGTTAATGGACACATGGGAAGGAGCTACAGAGTGTGACCCAGTGAAAGGATGCGCTCTACAGCTGGCACAATGGTAGCCCAATGGGTCTGCAGGTGCACATAACAGCAGTGCTAGAAAAGGAACCAGGTAAGGCAAAGAAAAGCGGGGCCTGGGGGTATTTTATACAAAGGTCTATTAAGGAGTTCTTCTTCCTGACCCCTGTGCCCACTGAAGCCAGCGAGAGGGTAGACACCCACTTGTCTCACCAGTGCAGGAGTAGATTCTGGGCATGTGTGCAAGCCTACTCACTAGCACTAACAACTGTGCTGTGGAATCACAGAGAAATAATCAACACTCTGAAGGCAAGATCAGTGAGGACAGAGTGATTCAAGCAATATAATCTGTGGGCTGTTTTAAGCAAATGGTAGTCGGGGGTTTAAGCACTGCAGTTATTGGCTGCAAGCCACAAAAAGTATGAAAAACAAGAGTGAGAAGGATGGGAAAGCTGGCCCAGAATTGAGCCTTTAGTTAGTGGTGGACCCGGTGTCCTAGTTCACAAGAGCCTCTTTTATTTTCACCCAGAGGGGTTACACTAGGGAAATAGCTACACAAACCTATGTAGAGAATTCCCTCCTCTAGGTGCTGGATACATACTGTCCTACAGGCATGTGTACAGTGCAACAGTGACACACAGACAAACAGACCTTTCAAAAAGCTATTTTTGAGCTTGTGCAGGTGCCAAGAAGCAACTTCTGCCTGCAAGTCAAGATTCAAAGCTATGTGTCCGAAGCGGGGCATCTGCCTACAGTGTGAATTTTGCCCTCTGTTGAATCAGTCATTAGGACTGAATGACTCAGGAAGGGCCTCTCGCTCTCGGTAGGAATCTGTACAGCGTGGAGCCAAAGGGAGGGTCTTACTCTTGAACCAAGGCCTCTTGACACTACAGCAATTAAATAATAGCGTATTACACTTCGCAGCTGTTAGCATTCTGCAATCGCAGAGTGAACTTTTGGGCCCCCTGAACTGCATGGTAAACTCCCACTGACTTGAGTGGGGCCAGCATTTCCACATTAGGCTCCACTAATGAGGAAGATGAATTCATGCTATAACTTCCTTTGTCCAAGTTGAAGTGAAAGTGACTGTTACTAAATAATGACTATAACCCGTGCAGAGGACAGCCCGTAAGAATCAAGGTGCTTACGGGTGACAATCTTTACATCACTCCCAGGAGCCTCTCTCCTGATAGGAGGCAGGTGAACCTCAACATGGCTTTTTTGGGGGAAGAGGAAGTGCAGCCCCCACTGGCGTAGGCAGACCGAAACACTTGGGTGGGCCCTGATTTAGGGTAGACAGGCAACAACAGAAGGGTGGGGGCAGGAGTCATCTAGGCCACCTCTCCCCACCCTCCAGAGGGCAAGAGACGCTCTGTCCAGGAGCCCTGGAAAAATGGGGTGTGAAGAAAAGTGCATTTCCACCTGTGTTGTCCCTCCGCCCAGCACTCCAGCCAGGTGTGGGGGCTTGCCCGATCTGACCAGCACTCCCACTAGGGAGCAGGGTCAGGGCATAGCGTCTTGTCCCGTTCTGCCCACCCGGTGCACCTGCTGCGGGGTGGAGACGAGGCTCAGTCTTGCTGCGGGGTCTTGTCCCACCCTGGTGCTCCAGCTGAGGAGTGGGTGTTGGGGGCCTGCAAGCCTCCATTCGTCAATCCCGCTCCCTGGCAAGAGCGCTGGGTGCAGAGAAAGTGCAGGTAGAGGTGCACTTTTCTTCACCCCTCGTCCCACCTGGCCCAATCCTTTCTCCCCAGCTGAACCCCACAACCTGACCTCTATTCCCAGCAAGAGCACCAGAAAGATTGAGCATAGCAAGCACTGGGGCAGGCGCAGAGCTGGAATGGGGATGGACCTGGATAATAAGTGGGTGGGCCACGGCCCACGCAGGCCCACCTGTGACTATGCCACTAGTGGCACCGCACCATCTGGCAACCAGGGGTTTGTAGTCTCAGCCAAATTGGGCAAGCCGACAAGGAGAAGCCTTGTGCAAAATAGCTGGCTACGTTAATGGAAAGAAATCTGATCAACAGCATTAGAGTAAGCTGAGCTCTTCGCCTAACACATGAACCACTGAGGACGCCATGTCCCCTTTACTTCGAGCTGAATTACCTTAGGGTGTTGCAATGGTTCAAAGTTTAAACACCGCACTGGAAAGCAGTGAAAATGCTGCTACAATATCTGGGTCACAATCATTCTGCATTACAGCTTTGGAGTGCACAATACTGTACAAGTTATCAAGCTAAGAAAAGGACAGCTGCATATCACTTAACACTGCTTTTGCATACAAACCTTGGACAATAAGTGGTTGCAAAGAACAAGGCAGACCACCAACCAAGTGCTTGCTATGGGCTACTGAGAGAGATACATCATTTTGTGTTGTTTGAAGATATTAAAGACGTGTCATCTTGGGAGGTATCTGATTTCTGCAAAAAATTAAAATGACCATCTGTCTAAAACAGAACACGCCTCCTAGTCTGATCAGGGAACACAGCTGAAAGGGACGGAGCTCCGCCGACACTCACTCAGATATTCACTGATGTGTTGGTTTTGAAGCCAATGGAAAACAAAAAGTCTTTGTATTAATCCAAGCTGTTATCTATCCTCCAACACACTTGTGGCTTAAGGAGAAGGGAATGATGCATAAATACTACAGCCCACACCATCCCCAATAGGCTGTGCTCTATTGTCCTTAGTCTCAGACCATAGTGGTGGGCAGGTTGTACATCTGTCAGATTCCCCAAAGCCTTAATAGACAGGTTGAGATACCCTCCCCCCCTATTTTACACCCCTAGGCCTTTCCTCTCCTCCACTATGTTTAACTCATTCTAACCAAATGTTGAAATGCAACAGTTTGCTCTGCAGCTGGTTACATTGCCAGAGTCTCTCCGCTTCTGAGGTGCTTACAGGGAAGCCCTGTATTGCCATGTGTGCCGAAAGGCTAGTACACAAATACAGCTTTGCCAGGGTACTGTCATGCTGGCAGTTAATTAGCTGCATTTAGGCACTGAGCAGAAAGCTCCGCATTGGTAGAGGAATGTTCCTTTAAATGGTGCCAAAAACATGGCTTGTTGGAGGTGACTCACCACTTACTGCAATGAAAGCTCCGATTTTGCAAAGTATTACGTTTCTAGCCCTGCTGGTTATTTATTTTTGGCAAAATTTTCCCCCAGATGTGAACGCTGGTTTAATTCCTCTGGTGGTAGCTGTGCTTGGAGTCCAGAGTGCACAAGGCTCTTGTGAGCCCCAGTGTTTCAGGTCTAAAATGCTGGCAGCCACGGAAGCCTTATCTACTCTAGGGCTCCCACTGCTGCTAGCATTTCTGCAGCTGAGCGGATGCTAGTGACTGTGCAAATGTTTTACAGCTGATCCCTAGGGCAGACGAGGATACCGCTGTACAGAAAACTGCCAAGCCAAGACCAGAATGTGATTCAATGCAGCGTTGCACTGTCGCTCCTGTCCATTCATTTCACTGAGGTGCTAAGGCTAGAGCCTAACACGGTCATACCACACATCAGCATCAACTATTTCACTGCTGGTCAATGTAGCTGATGAGACTTGGATAGGAGCAGGAAGGAAGCTGGTTGGGAGGCACGGAACCTGAGAGCAGCTGCAGGGCGGGAAGTAGGCAGAGCAGAAATGAAGCGACACAAAGTCCAGGTCTATGCTACATGCTTTGCCAGCACAGCTGTGCTGGTCAGTGCTGTGATTTGTGACCCCGCATAGCTGTTCCAGCAACAGCCCCAAGTATGGTCACAGCTTATACTGGCCAAACCATGCTTTTTCTGGTGTATCTGATTTCACTGGGCGGAATGGAATAAACTATCCCAGCACAGCTGCAGTTTTGCCAGTACAGATTACCACCCACTGTAGGAGTGCCGGGCTGGTATAATCTGTCTGAAAAGCTAGACCAGCAAATCATTCCTTGACTAAATCTGGCCCAGGACGGGACAGGAAAGGTGAGTAACTCCAACAGGAAGGGTATTTACCCAATACGTGATGCTGAATATGACAATAAAGCACTTAAATAACAACAGAAAGTGCGGTTACTACAAACCATTCGCAATCTCTGTGCAAAGCAATCTGTGACATCAGGCAGAGTTCTGCTGGAGTGGAGGAATGTACCTAGTCTGATTTCCTGCGCATGGGCCATAATTAAAAATGCGATTTGGCCCTGTCCACAGAACAATTTTGCCTCCCCTGCTTAGCACATTCTGCCCAGAGAAGCTCCACCCGCATATTTTTACATTAAAACATTTGAAGTGAAAAAATACGGCTGTCATATTAGGAGTAAAATGCCTCTGTGCTGCCCCCACCAGCAGGCTCAGAATAGAACAGGATTCACTGTTTCATCCCATTAATACATTACAGCTTTGTTCAACCCTTAACTTCTTTGGTTTATGTTACTAGAAGAGGGGATTTAGTTCTAGGATCAAATGAGAGTCACAGATTTAGGGGCCTAATATTCCTTTGATGTGTGCACCTAATTCCCCACCAATGCTACGTTACACATGGGCAACCCCAACATGTTGCACAGACTTCTCGTATGCCCCTAGCCTTGGCAGGGCTGGATCTTGAAAACATTTATTCTAAAGTGTGTCTTTCTTACCCCAGAAGCGGCCTTCCAATTAGCGTGAAGTCATCAGCACCAACCATCAAAACCTGGGGAAGATTAAATTATGCACTTAGGTCATTAGCCAATGCTCACAATCTAATTTGAAACAATATTATCAAAACCTGACAAATATCCTAGAGGGCTGGGTGATTTGTATTTTAATGAGCTTAAGCAGCCTCAGGCTGCTGCTGAGAAAGAGCTACCAGCCAAGAAATACACCCATTCAATACATGCTCTCCCAGGCAAGGGCCAGATCTGTTCTGCCAGAGCGTATTTTACAAACACTCTGCACACTAATCAGAGGCCTTTGGTTCTATATGCATTTGTAAGACCGTGGAACAACGTTTCCTCTAATATTTTCCATCCATGTGCAGAATAAATACTTTATGTGCACTGAGGCACATGCAAACGTGCACCACCAGTCCAAACAAAAAAACCTCACTGTGGGCGCCCTGCTAATCAGCTGGCTGGCATTTGAAACTCTCCTGAGCAGCTGCACAGGCACACTGTTTACAGGGAACACTGCAGGGGAAGATAAAGGCAGAGAAGGCTGTAAAGACACTGAATTTCTAAGATCTTCATGCCAAAGTCTGTGAACAGTCGTTGCTGTGATTACTGGAGTTTTACAGCAGTTGCTATGCCCTCATTAGGGAAACAACATTTTTATTATTATTCTCCCGGCACACTCATATGGGTAATACACAAATAGATGTTTAGGGTACACTCACGTCACGTACTAGTCCTTTGGTGCAGGGGAACTGAAATTGCCTTCAGTCAAGACTAGAAAGTATTTAAAACACATACGGTTTTTATAGCCTATTTCTTCTCTCCATTCACTGTACTGCAGCAGTTAACAAGCAATGCACACATGATAATTGGGGCTTTTGATTTTTGGTTCAGATAGACATTTGTCAGCAAAAACCTTGACAGGATTATGGTTTGGATTTACTGGAAGATTAAACATAAATGCCTGATTGTCTTCACCCTGACCCAGATCTCTGCACTCTCAGCAGGCTGCTTCTTGCAAGTGCCTGTCTCACACAACAATTCAACATGCAGCTGCCAGAGAGGGGGCTTCGACACTGAGCTTTAAAGCAATGATTCTGCAGAGAAGTGGCGTCTTCCAGACCCTATTAAACAGCAAATAAATGCTTGGCTGTGATGAATAAAGATTAATCCACTGTAGCCTCACTTCATGGTATTTCAGCCAAGGTTTGGATTAATGAGTCTCTCTAGGTTCATTTTGAGTGTTAGAAGCGGATTATGATGGAAACATCAAATAGGAGCCCACACCTATCTCCTCCATGCCCTCCTCATCCAGAGATGCAATGAACATTCTGGAAGCTTAGAAGAGGAATCAACTCTCATGTCACTTTCCAATGTGCAATCTCATCTGGACGGATTGCTGGATCAGCTGATTCGTGTTGTCAATCCTAGGACAACAAGCTTTTCTCTGGGAGCATATCTGGGAATGACAACATCCAATGAGTGATAATTACACCTTTGGCCAGAATGGGCAAAGCCAACTGCCTGTCTTCCCACTGACTGAAGGAGCCTGAAATCTTCAGAGCAATTCAGTCCATCTCTCTTTGGTGTAAATCATACTGACACCATCAGTAAGAGGGTAATTAAAATAACAGTAACGTGAAGGCCTGGCAAGGAGCTACAGATAGAACTGGAGCTTTTGTAGATCCAAGGGGAATAATTCAGGACTGTTCTGAAATTGATTTCTGAGTTCTTAGAAAAATTCCTAACTGTCAGGGTGGTCAAATATTGGAATAAATTGCCAAGGGAGGTGGTGGAATCTCCCTCTCTGGAGATATTTAAGAACAGGTTAGATAGACATCTGTCAGGGATTGTGTAGACGGAGCTTGGTCCTGCCTTGAGGGCGGGGGGCTGGACTCGATGACCTCTCGAGGTCCCTTCCAGTCCTATGATTCTATGATTCTTCCCAAGCCACCCATTTACAATGCCACGTTTGGAAAGCTGGCCTCTATCCAGGGAATTTCCGCTAATAAGTACACAGGGTTACAACACATCCTTGTGGTGAGCTCAGAACTGGTGGGGCTGAGCTGCATAAACATTATCTATGGAAACACATCCATCATACTGAATCATACAGAGGGCTACTGGGAGCACCGGGGAGTGCAAAGGAAGTCCAGTTTCCCATAAGCTGTTATTTATTTATTTTTATAAACAGCCAGCTCTCTCTTCCAGCCCTCCGCACAATCTTAAAAACCACAACCATCACCAGCCCTGCTGAGCCAGTTTTATTGCCTTCCATAGGGGTGAATGGATTTTTCTTGACTTGTTGGCCAAGTAGGGGCAACCCGGAAGCTCTCCAGCAATCTTGAACATCAGGAAGGTTTTACCTTTTCTAGGCGGATTCGATCGCCACATTCAGCCGGCAGCTTGTTTTCCATTAAAATCAAATCTTCACTGGTTACCTTCCACTGCTTACTGGCGAAGTGAACCACAGCAAAGAGCCTTCCGTACTGTCCGGTGGCAATCATCTCATTTACCTTTTGTACAACCTCTGTTAACAAGGGGTGAGTTAATGAGTAAATCAGGACTAAGCCACAGTTAAAAAAACCCCAACCAAACAGCGGAAAAGACTAGTTGTTCAACACCAACAAATTTTCCACATGCAACCTTCCAACAGGAGCCATTATCTCAGAAGCAACCCTACTTATGGTGGCAAGGACTGACTGAATAGTGATGATATTTCATCAGCGTGGACCTGATCTCCCTTCTTGAAAGACTGAAGTCCTGTCCACACTAGGAGTTTAGCAGTTGGACCGGCTGAACCCATACAATTCTTCATGTAGACATGGTTTACAGCGGTGCAGTTTAAGGTTGCTGAGGTCTGAAATGTTTGTGTAGACATCACCGGAACGCCCTATCCTGCAGATCCGAGGTGTTCCATATAAGGATGATAAGAGGTGGGTAATTGGGTAGTTGATGCAATTTGTATTGACTACACGATTAGTTGATAAGGGCAGGTGCTCAGAAGGAGCTACCCCCGCTGCGGCTCTGCAGTTTAAATGTAGTAAGAGCTGGGCATGCAGACAGCTCAGCTCCTACTACATTTAAGCTGCATAGCTGCAGCGGGAGTAGCTCCTGGACCTGACATGAGCCGGGACTGAGCTGGGCTTGCTCAATCCTGGCTCGAGCTGGGTCCAGCAGCCGCTGTCCATGGGAAGTCCCAACTCCTTGCTGGGATCCCCTGCCTCCTCCACCCCCCACTGCTGTCTCTATCTGATAGAGGCAGCAGCACAGAGGTGGGGGGAGGGCACTGGCTCCTGCTTCCCTCCTTTGAGGCAACAAGGGTGGGGGGGATGTGAGTAGTCGACTCGACTACCCGATAAGTCTAGGCTTATTGGGTAGTTGACTAATCGACTACTCTTTTGTATCTCTAGATCCATAAGAGAGTGCACTGCTCTGCCTTTGGTTCATCCTGCAGAGCATACAGAAGCCATACCATAACCCCTGAAAACCTTACAAAAGTCATAAGGACTGAAGGAGGGCTCCAGTGTACTTTGTAATGGACACAGCACTCTGCAAATCGTGCTGGAACTGGGCTCCACCGCACTTGCAAAGCCTAAGTTTGAGATTCTGTCTATTTCACCGAGCAAGCAGTGTATGCTTCCCAGAGATGTTATCCGTGCATATATCTGCACTGCTGTCTCCCTTAGCCGAGCACATTATCACAGTATCAGAAATCCTGTGCACAATGTTCCATACAAGCAAAGAACACCATTTTTTAAAGTCATAGCTCAGTCAAATCAAACTCTGTATTTATGAGAACACTCAAAGGCACTTCCTAATAAGGGCTATTTCCCTGTAAAATTTTAATTTTCTACCTTCAGGCCTTTCAACCCTCAAGCTGTTCAGAAAAAGAGGATTTTTTTTTATAATAAAGAAAGTATATTTCTTCTCCTCTCTCTGTGTGCTCAAAAATAGCTGACCCAATTTTACTCAAAATTTAAACAAAAATCCATTTCACAAAGAGATAAAGCATGGAATGTTTTACCCAAAAGGTGACACTTACAAGAAGTTAGGAGCAACTGAAAACAGGGGGTTAGAATGGAAACTATTAAGCCAACGCCACTCCCACTATAATTAAACAATGAGCTTATATTATGATCAGAACACGCATATAGGAACAAACCACATGGTCTAATATCTTTTGACTCACAGTTATTAATACTGAATGCTTCAGAGACAAAAGTGTGATCCCCATCCCCTTTTCATTATGACCTCAAGTATACTTTATAATATTGTGGGGAAATTTTCTCCTGCCTCAAAATGGTGAGCAGTTTATTCAGCTGGGGTCAATATCCTTATGGTCAACATTTTCAAATCTATGTGCCTCTGGTTAACCTCCTAAATTCTTACTTAAGTAAGGATTTACAACAATGCAGTGCTAGCATCTCCCATTGAAGTCAATGGGGTTTGTAGGCACTCTGGAAATTTGAAAATCATACTGCATATTCAAAAGCCTCACTTCAGGCCTCCGTATTTGAAAATTTAGACTATCATTTTATTTTGCTGAAATGAAGAATTACATCAGAATTTCAACAATTTCCATCCCACCGTCAACCTCAGCCTGGACCAGTCCACATAAGAGATCCACTTCCTGGATACTACAGTGCAAATAAGTAATTGTCACATCAACACCACCGTATACCGGAAACCTACTGACCGCTATACTTACCTACATGCCTCCAAACTTCTATCCAAAACACATCACACAATTCATTGTCTACAGCTACACCCTAAGATACAACCACATTTGCTCCAATCCCTCAGACAGAGACAAACACCTTCAGGATCTATACCAAGTGTGCTTAAAACTACAATACCCACTGGGGTGAAGAAACAGAGCGACAGAGCAAGATGGGTACCCAGATGTCACCTACTACAAGGCAGGCCCAAGGAAAGTAACAATGCCACACGCCATTACTTGCAGCCCCCAGCTAAAGCCTCTCCAGGATATCATCAAAGCCTCTCCAGCATATCATCAAGGATCCAGCCTGTCCTGGCAGATGACCCCTTACTCTCACAGACCCCCGGAGACAGGGCAATCCTCGCTAACAGACAGCCCCCTAATGCAAAGCAAATATTCACCATCAACTACGCATCACACCAGGAACCAATCCCTGAAACAAACCCCATGGCCAACTCTGCTCCCACATCTACTAACATGACCCCACCACAGGGCCTTACCACATCAGCCACTCCATTAGGGGTTCATTCATCTGCTCATCTACACATGTGAAATATGCCATCATGTGCCAACAGTGCCCCTCAGCCATTTGTATTGGCCAAACGAACTATCTCTCTGCACAAGAATAAATGGACCCAGATGAGACATCGACAATGGTAACATTAAAAATGGGTAGGAGAGCACTTCAGTTTCGCTGGACACTCAGTAACAGACTTAAAAGTTGACATACATCAGCAAAAACTCTTCAAAACTGGACATTAGCTGGCACTGCCAAGTGGGATTTGTATGTGAACTTGACATCATCAGCCTTAGTCTGAATAGAGATAGGGAGTGGCTAGATACCTATAAAAAGTCATCTTCCCTCTTCTGGCATTCACACCTTCTCATCTACTGTTGGGAGTGGGCCACATCTACCCGACTAAATTTACTATGCAGAGCTCTAGTGCTCTGCATAGTAATGTAACACACTTATCTTTGCATCTGACCACGTAAGTTTATGCCCAAATAAATTTGTTAGTCTTTAAGGTGGCACATGACTCTTTGTTGTTTTGCTAAAAAAGACTAACATGACTACTCCCTGATATTTCACATCAACCCATGCTGTCATTTTATCATTAACAGTCAGCTGAATTTTAGCAGTGCATGGAGTGATCTTACATAAAGTATCTGTGGCCATGTCCAAGCACAGTGAGGGAGGAAAAGACTGACATGTAGAACTCAAATGCTCTAACACAGGGGTGGGCAATAATTTTTGGTGTGGGGGGAGGTCACTCCAAGATTTTGGAAAGTGGTCAAGGGCTGCACTTTTCTGTGGAGGAGGTGCGGGGTGTAGGATAGTGCAGAAGGGCAAACGGAGTAAGAGACTGGGGTGCAGAAGACCTTGTGAGGTCTGAGAGGGAGTATGGGTGAAGGAGGATGTGGTGACCTAGGGCAGGGGATTCGGTTGCAGGTCAGGCAGGGGATCTGGGTGCAGGAGAAGATTCTGGCCTGGTGGAGGAGTATAGAAGGGGGTATAGAGTCTGGGAGGGAGTTGTGATCTGGGGTAGGGGAGTGCAGAGGAATTGGATGGTGACCCAGGGGAGGGAGTCAGGGTGCAGAGTGGCTGGGGTGCCAGAGGTAGGCTTTGGCTGGGAGGCACTTACCTAAATGTCTCGTGGCCAGCAGCCCTACAGTACCCCCAAAGCAAGCTGGGCTCCCTGCCTGCTGCAACTCCAGACTGCATAAAATTGAATGCTGCTCCCTCCATGTGGCTCTCAGCTCTGAGAGGGGAAAAGGCTTGTGCTGCCTTTCCCTGTCACCCAGTCCCCCAGGCCAATCTCTCAGCTTCCAGCCAATAGAAGCCGAGAAATTGGCTGGGGACAGTTCCTATTGGCCAGTTGTTTCCAGTCAATAGGAGCTGAGGATTGGGCTGGCGATCGGGAGATCACACAAAACCTTCCCCTCCCTCCAGAGAAGAGAAGCACACAGAGATCGGGAGATCACACAAAGCCTTCCCCTCCCTCCAGAGAAGAGAAGCACACAGAGCAGTCCTCTGCTTAAATAAGCGGCAGCTGCGTGCCTGAGGGTCCGGCAGGGTGTCTGCGGGCTGGATCCAATGGCGTGGAGGGCCGGATCCGGCCCATGAGAGATATCTTGCCCACCCCCGCTCCAACAGGTGTGAGTTGAAGTCAGAGCTGTAATATCATTTTGAGCATGCTCTGAATGGGCAAGCCAGCTGCTTTGTACAGAGGCCTCCTGGACATGTTGTAGGGAATGATACAAAACCATGAATATCTATGAGGTTATGAAGCATGGAAATTATAAAGGCTCAAAGGCAGAGCCCTGTGCAAATCAGACACAGTGGAAGATTTGATACGTTTTATCAAACAGGGTCCAATATTTATTCCCCCAATACCTATTTTTTTAATCAAGTAGCCCAGGGGTTCCCAAACTTTTTGATACGGGGACCAGTAAATCCATTCATGAGCTTTGGGAGGACCGGTAACATTCATTTGCATATCCATTAAGCAAATGATGAATATTCAAATAAGTTGTTTCTGGTCCTCCCAAAGCCCCCAGTGCCAGCATTAGCAAAGCTTTTGATATGATCACCAACAATATTCTTGCCAGCAAGTTAAGGGAATATCGATTGGATAAATGGACTGTAAGATGGACAGAAAGCTGGCTAGACCAGTGTTTCCCAAACTTTTTACTTTAGTTGGAACCAGTTTTTTTTAGTACTGTTTTTTGCAGCCCAAAAATATAAATGCATATTAAAAAAAAGAATGAAAAATGAATAAATTTTCAGTGTTTCACTTGGCTGCATCCTCTGCCCAGCCTGGGCCAGGGCATGGGGGACCCGGCACCGCATGGGCACTCCAGGAGGCGGGAGAAGGAGCAGACTGGGGGTAGGGTATCTGGCTAGGAGGGAGGGTGCAAGGAGGGGTAGGGTTGCCAGGAGTCCAGTTTTGTACTGGACAGTCCGGTATTTGAGGGCTTTGTCAAGGAAACAAATTGATAAAATACCGGATATATGAAATGTCCGGTATTTTCTAATTAGGTAAGTTTTATTATTATTAGGTGTATCAGACTGTAGCTGCGAACTGCCTGGCTGGTAGATGTGCTCATGCTGCGTGAGTGTGTCTACCAGTCAGGCAGTTCGCAACCACTCGAGGGAGGCTATGGAGGGAGGGGGGAGACTCACTCGTGTGCCTGGGTCAGTCCCTCTTCCCACTGACTGATTCGCTGCCCCTCTCCTCCCCCCCCGCTTGTCCTCCTGATCTCCCCCGGGCAGACCCCCCAATCCTCCGGCTGGCCCTGCTTCTGCCGCCCGTTTGTCCCGATTTCCACTGGACAGCCCCACTGCCCCCAACCCCGCTTCCCCCAGCTGCCTGCCCCCCCATCTCTGCCGGACAGCCCTGCTGCCCCCAACCCTGCTTCCCGCTGCCCCCCCACACACACTTCCTCCCAAGCCCCCCCGCCGCCCCCCCCGCCAGCCGCCCTGCCCACTCCCCTCCTGGCAGCCATGCTGAGGCCCGGTATTTTTTTCCTGCAGCCCAGTACTGGGCCATGGCCCATAGTTTGGGAAACGCTGAAGTAGCCGATTATTCATGCAGTTATTTACTGATATTTGAGCCACACATTGCTGAATGAACTATAGACGTTAAATGTGGCATCCCATTATGGTAACTGCCCCCAGCAGATAACACAATAGCTCCTTTCTCTAATCTATGTTGGGGGAACATGACTGAGACTAACAAGAACAGAACCCCACCCGAAAATCAAGGACAAAGCTGCCTTACATTCTTCCAGGTTGCCAATAATAGAACAGAAGTACAGATGCCGGGCTCTGCAGCTGGAGACCTTTACCTGCATGGTACTTTGCCTCTTCGATTGGATCAGGCAGTTTGACTTCAGGCCATGGGGGTGAAGACAATGATGTTTTTGCAATAATTCTGTCAAAAGTAAGTAGGAATCAACCATTACAAATATGTATTACCGGGAGACACAAAACATTAACAAGGACAAGAGTCAACAGTGCATACCCATAAAATTCCTACATGGCTAGAGAGTGAAAAGCAGGGCAGCTCTGCCATCAGTGAAAAACCTTAGGAGTTATGATAGAAATGCAGCCGTATTAGTCTAGGGTAGCTGAAACAAAATACAGGACTATGTAGCACTTTAAAGACTAAAGTCTTTAAAGTGCTACATAGTCCTGTACTTAGGAGTTATGCTTCTCTTCTTGACACAGCTCACCCATCAGCTCTCAGGGCCTATTCCAAAGCCCACTGAAGTCAATGGGAAACTTTCCAGTCAATGGGGTTTGGCTCAGCCCCTGTGTGAGCTAAGGAAGTTTGGGTTACTGATGCTCCCGATTTCAGTGCTATCTGTGATGGTCAGAGGACATCTAAGTCAACAAGCAAGAAGAGCCTCTTCCTGAGGGCTTCTGATGCAGCAACTCCCCATCACCCATCTCCTTACATTCTTTGTTCAACTCCCATCCCGGCACCTTAGCAACTGCCCCAAGACCAAGTTAAAACCTGGCCCGGTGATTAAATACACTGGTGCGTTCTGACTATTAGGGAAGCAGTGGGCACTTTCAAAGGTGTTGACATTCGAAGCCCACCTGAAGACTGTTTAACCACCTGCTGAAAATGCTTTATCTTGCTTCGGAGTTAGTCTTGCAAATTAAAGGAAAGGCGCCATACTTAAAACAGAAACAGTTGCTACCCTGTTGATCAATGCCATCAGCTATACTACAAAGTTCAGAGAACCCCTGAGAGCTGTGCTAGAAAGGAGAGAAATGGCTCATTTGTCGTCGTCCCCCTATAAAACCAGGACTACTCAACCCACGGCCCATTTGTTTGCAGCCTGCGGTGTGGTCTGGGTTTTACGCGGGGCTCAATACGTGGCCCACGGGTAGGAACCAAAACAAAAAAATAGTCAATATAATGGTCTTCTGTTGATATGCATTTTAAGTAGTTAAATTCCTGGACTGTCATTGCTCATTAACAGTGCTGTCATATGGCTGGAAATTGGGTAACTAATGCATTTTATTAATATCAGCAGAACTGACTTAAATGGGGCCTGCGTGCTCTGTAGTCTTGCCTTAATCTTTGTATTCATGCCCGTCAGTGTGACAAGCTATTTGTATATGCAACCAGGCCCTCAGCATGAGCTGTGAGTATCATTGTGGCCACCGGGGCTTCCAAAGTTGAGTAGCCCTGATATAAACAGTACCATTTTTTCTTTAATTTTTTAAAGCAACAAGCCACAATCAGCAAAAATGACCTTTAAGAATAAGCAATTTGAAACTGAGCTGGAGATTCACCAGTAGCTTTTAAATCTCCACAGGCCTTTGCTATACCAAGCTTTAATTTCACACTGGGTTTCACACCTTTGCAGCTACAGCTGGGACTGTGGGGGCACATAAAGGGCCAGTGACCATCAATGGGTTTTACCACTGTGTTGTGTAGAAGACATGAGGCATTATCATTCCCCACTGCCATTGACTTCAGTGGGAGCAGGGTTGGGCCTAAGCTGCTTAAACTGCGGGTAGCTGTCGGAAGCACTGTCCACACTAGAACTCTCTCCATTGCTGCACCGGTGTTAACGATGGTGGGGAGTGTTTCAGAAAACAAGCCAGCACCGATTCAGCCTTAGACGGAAATGAAGGTCTAAGCTAAATCAGCCTCAGGGGACAGGGGATTAATCACTCATGCATGTTACTTGTCCCTTTCTAGGGAGACTATTTTTAAAAGCTCTTCTCTGCTAAATTGGTAGTTTAGTGAGGGCCTTGAGAACCACAGCTAGGCTCTCTATACAAGTTTATGAAGTTGGGTTTTTTTAAGACTTCCAGCTGCACATCTTGAATACAGATACTGATGGCTGCTAACATCCCCCTTGGAAATTTCTGCATTATTACAACGTCTGAGCCGAGAGACTTTATTCAGCCCACAAGCCTCTGTGAACAACATAAAAATGTCCTAACTGGGTCAGAAGAATGGTCACCTAGCCCAACTTCCTATTTTCTGACAGTGGCCAACACCAGATGCTTCAGGGGAAATTAACAGAGCAGGCAATCACTGAGTGATCCATCCCCTGTTTTCTATTGCCAGCTTCTAGCACTCAGAAGCTTGGGACCCCCACAGTCTGGGGTTGCATTTCTGACCATTGTGGCTAATAAACTGGACCTATCCACCATGAGTGTATTTGATTCTTCTTTGAACCCCATTGCAATATGGGGCTTTACATCGCCTGGGCAATGAGTTCCACAGGCTGACTGTGCATCGGGCGAAGTAGTACTTCCTTTGATTTGTTTTATACCTACTTAATAATTTCATTGGATGACCTCTGGTTTTTTAGGTCTAAATAACTAAATAACACTTCCTTATTTACTTTCTCCAAACCACTCATGGTTTTACAGATCTCTAGCATATCTTGTCCTTTTCCAAGCTGAAAAGTCCTAATCTTTTAAATCTTCTCTCATATGGAAGCTATTCCATACCCTTAATGTTTGTTGCCCTTTTCTATGCCTTTTCCATTTCTAATATTTCCTTTTTGGTGGTCTGAACAAAACTGCATGCAGTATTCAAGGTGTGAATGTACCATGGATTTCTATAGTGGCATTCTGATATTGTCTGTCTCGTTATCTATTTCTTTCCTAATGGTTCCTAACATCAGCTTGTTTGATTGCTGCTGCACACTGAGTGAATGTTTTCAGAAAACTATCCTTAATTACTTCAAGATCTCTTTCTTGAGTGGTAACAGCTAAATTAAATCCCATTGTTTTATATGCATGTTTGGGATTATGTTTTCCCATGTGCTTCACTTTGCATTTATCAAAATTGAATTTCACTAGCCATTTTATTGCCCAGTTTTGTGAGATTTCTTTGTAAATGTTCAGTCTGCTTTGGACTAACTATCTTGAGTAAGTGCCACTGAGCCTGTTTGTTACTTCCCAAGTTGCTTTGAGATTTAGAGTAAACTGACTTGTGGGTATGTCTACACAGCAACTAGACACCCAGGGCTGGCACTCCACTGCTTCATATACCCTGCCACCTAGCTGCTGTTTGATTTGGGCTCAGGCTGCAGGGGAGTTTCACGGCAGCATAGACTTCCTGGCCTGGATTCTCAGACCCTGTGAGGTGGGAGCATTCTAGAGCTCACACTCCATCCAGCCTGAGCCTGCAAGTCTACACAGCAATGAAACAACCCTGCAGCCTAAGTCATGCAATCCTGAGTTGGCAGGCCTGGGCCAGCCATGGGTTTCTCTTTCCTGTGTAGCAGCGGCGGATTTAGGGCAGGGCGAGCGGGACGGCTGCCCCGGGCCCTGCGCTTCCCGAGGCCCCGCACATGCGCCTTGGCACCACGGCGCATGCGCTGTGTCAAAGGGGGGGGGCCCCCCGCGAAATTTTGCTGCCCAGCGCCCCGGGGCACTGCCCTGGGCCCCGCGGCACTGCCCTGGGCCCCGCAGCACTGCCCTGGGCCCCGCGGCATTCTCATCCGCCCCTGCTGTGAGACAGTGTGAGACAGTGTGTGTAGACATACCCTGTGAGACAGTGTGAGACAGTGTGTGTAGACATACCCTGTGAGACAGTGTGAGACAGTGTGTGTAGACATACCCTGTGAGACAGTGTGAGACAGTGTGTGTAGACATACCCTGTGAGACAGTGTGAGACAGTGTGTGTAGACATACCCTGTGAGACAGTGTGAGACAGTGTGTGTAGACATACCCTGTGAGACAGTGTGAGACAGTGTGTGTAGACATACCCTGTGAGACAGTGTGAGACAGTGTGTGTAGACATACCCTGTGAGACAGTGTGAGACAGTGTGTGTAGACATACCCTGTGAGACAGTGTGAGACAGTGTGTGTAGACATACCCTGTGAGACAGTGTGAGACAGTGTGTGTAGACATACCCTGTGAGACAGTGTGAGACAGTGTGTGTAGACATACCCTGTGAGACAGTGTGAGACAGTGTGTGTTCTCTGAATGACTGGATTTAACTGGCTAACAGATCTAGCTCACTGACCATGGTTACCATTTGGGGGGGGAATTGAAAAGGGCTAGGAGTTTTAGTGAGTTGGCACACATCTACCCAGTTACATAGCTTCAATTTGTTATTAGTTTTGTGCTTTACACAGATTTGTTTGGAATGGGGTCCAGCAAATTTTGTTCAGTATCCAGCTTCAATCCTCAACAAATTTGTCCTGTGTTTCTTATAGCTGTGCTCCAAATTCCTTTAACAAAGCTTGCTTCTGAAGTACCTCCTGGCTGCACCAAGAGAAGGGTCTCTTCATGCTAGACATTCTTTCCTGAGTTGCTCCTTGAGAATCCAGCTAACGGGAAGAATAAAGCATTTAACTTGGATGACATTGGGTACCATAGATTGACTTTCCCTAAGGGCACTCAACACTGACATCCACAATTCACAGAAACTATCCCCAGAGCTCATACTGTCTAAGCATTTGGCTGCCAATTTCAGTACTGAATAGGCCTTCCCAGGAGGCTGATTTATTTTCCACTTTTAGGAGTTGCTTACCTTACCTACTGGAATTGTCAAAATTGCTAATGCAGTGACAGCTCTAATTAAGTGAGTATCCTGGGGATGCTATGAGTGGCAGCAAATCCTCTGCTGCTGCCACAACACTGATGAATGGAAGCTAGCAGGGATCTTTCAGCCCACATCCATCAGTGTTTTCCTGTCAGCAATATGAGTGGATTCTCTCTGCTTCACTCAAGACTGTCACTCTGTGGGATTCTTTGTCCCAACATTGAAAAGAATCCCTTATTACCTGAAAAGTCCTATTCAGCTAATAGTATGTAAACTACATTGGCCAAAGAAGGAATGATAGATAAGGAACTATCACTAATGAAAATGCTTATTTGCTTTAAACATCAGAGGTGAATAGCAATTAAAACTCTGCTCAAATATTCCGTGTGGGAGACAGTTTTAATTAGAAGATGAAAAGACGCATAGAAAATGCCTATATGCTATAAAATGGAAGTCAGACTAAATGATCATAATGATCCCGTCTGGCCTTATAATCCATGAAGCATGATTCTAGATGGGGAAAAAAATTACCTGAATAAACTTTACTGAAGTTAGGAACCTTTTCTGATCTCTCATACAAGCTGGGACATATAGCAGGGGTTAGGGAAACAGCTAACACCTCTGCTCGATGACTTTCTACACATGCTTTTCTTTTGTTCCATGGAACAACAGAGGGAAAAGCATGATTATTCTAATGGATAATACTCTCCTCCAGCTGGGAAGTGCCTTATCCCCTGCCTCCACCCCAGACTTGGCCCCCATTCTACCCTTTCCTTCAAGCTCCCACCCCTGCCCTATTTCTTCCCTGTCTCCTCCCCCAAGCATGCCCCATCCCTCCCTCTCCATCTTGGAGCTTGCTGAACACTGCAAATCAGCTGTTTGTGGTACTCCAGAAGCTCTGGGACAGTGGGATGGTAGGTGGAGCCATTAACAGGTGAGAGGTGCAGGGGGTGGCGTTTGCCTGCTGATGGGTGCTCAGCATCCACTAAAAAGTTTTCCCTGTGGATGCTCCATCCCCAGAGGACCCACAGAGTTGGTGCCTATGCCTTGCATACTAACAATGCTTTTCACCCCGAGATCTCAAAGAGCTTTACCACTGTATTCACTTTGTAGAAGATGAAACTGGCATACAGAAATTGTGTCAACTACACAAAACCATACTGTGGCAGTGGGAACAGAACCCAAGTCCCATTCGTGCTCCTCACAGCAGCGTTGTTTTGTGCTATGCAAGCCCCCTCCTGGAGCAGAAAGCTTACCTTCTCCTGCTAATACTCTAACATTGAGGAATAGCTGCCATCAAGAATGATTCTGTATATTCCAGTGTCTAAGGATATCCTAACAGTGGCAGGATGCTTTACTTTAAAAAGACATATCACTAAAATCCCCCTTACCTATTAAAATAGTTATTCCTTATTGAGTAAAAACCAATTACACTGCAAAGGCATTTGCAGAAAAATAGTCTTTGATTTGGAATCATCTTCTCTTTTGAATAGTTAATGGATCTCGGATGGGATAGCCAGAAAGCCTTGGCTTCTGAAACTTCAAAAAGCCAGAACCCTATGACTATAATAAAACTATCCCTGACATAAACAGGGACCTACTTTCCTGCAGTAGTTTCCATAGCTAGCAACTGATGTGCAGATTACAACAGGTATTTTTAAATTCATGGGAAATTCTATAGACTGGTAAATCAAGGCAAAATGAATAGTTGGGGAGTTAGGATCAATCTACTTGGCAATGTTCACTTGCGCTAATTAAAGTGCTTTCTTTTAATAGTAACACAAAGCAAATATTTTCAAACAATTCTAAAGAACCAGGCCTTTTTGGGCTGGCTCCATGGCTTTACGACAGTGCCATATTCTATGATGTGATGAGCTTCCGTGGGCCAGACCCACAAGACCAGACTAACACGGCTACATCTCTATTAATATTCTATGATGCAGGCACAGAGTAAAACCCCTCCTTTCATTAAAGTCAAAGGGATGGAATGGGATGGGATGGGATGGCCACCTTTTGTTGCGATGCAGGCACAGAGTAAAACCCCCCCTTTCATTAAAGTCAAAGGGATGGGATGGGATGGCCACCTTTTGTTGTTAGAACTGAAGAAATCAAAGACAGAAAATAATTAGTAGGTCATCTGTTCCAGGACCCAGCAGAGTAATTTTCTATCTCTTTAGTGACCCCTTCTGGCTAAAGCAAGGAATGGCACTGACAAACTACCCTGCTGTGATCAGGTCACTGGAAGGGAGGGCAAGACAATAATAGGGAGGAGGGAAGGGAGGGTTAGTATTTCAGAGGGAAGCAGAGCAGCATATTGACATTACCCTTGTTGTAGTGAAGTGCTTTGAGATCTCTGGCTGCGAACTGTAGACCACAACAGAGATGCTAAAAAGAAGAGAGGAAAGAGAATTAAAAACAAGCAATAATACTTATCAGGTAATGTAATGAGGAAGTATGAGCTGTGTCAATTTCAGCATTGCTGGGAAAAGCACCAAGGAGCTAGCGACAGAAACAAGATACAGTGCATAATACATTAAGAACTCCTCCATAAGACACAATATCCCAATGGAGCAGAAGAAGCCAAGATCACTCTTAGATGGCAAACACAGACTATTACAGTAAGTGTCAGCTATAAGATTCCAAATGTGGGTTGCAACAATTTGTTGTATATTGTTGTATTTGTGCATAACATCTCATCTGTTACCAAGACAGTGGAATTTGCAACGGTCTGTACAAAGATGTATTACATCCTTCTGTGCTGCACTATTATTTTAATAGATATGGTTAGGTATATCCTTCCCTGCCTAGAAGCCTGGCGTTGCCCGGGTCTGGCAGTGGGGGCTATGTGGCCTGCCATCTGGCTTCTCCCTGGGCCGGGGAGTGTGCGTGTGGGAGGGTGGGGGAGCTGTGCAGGTCCCCCACTAGCTTCTTCTTGCAGCTGGGCCTGGGTGGGGAGTGTGAGGGCTAAGCAGGCCACTGCCAGATTCTCCCCAAGGCAGTGGGAACTACACCGCTCACCCACCAGCTTCTCCCTAGAGCCAGCCTGGTAGTGCAGCCTGCCCGCTGGTTGCTCCCCAGGGCCGGCCCGGAGAGGCGGGGGCCACACAGGCTGGTGGGCAGCTGCACCATGTGGGCAGCCTGGAGCAGCTGCTCCCTGGAGCTGGGGCACTTACTGCCCCCTGTGGTTATTCATGAGTATTACTGTCCCCACTATCACACTCTCCCTTTTCATTTGATACGAAACAGTCACATTCCAGGCACATCTCACTGTCCTGGCACAACCAAACCCTGATCTTGCTTTTAGTTATGATAAGAAGAAGCTTCGTACCAAATGTGGTGGTCCCTTGCTCTTACCATTTAAGAAGAGTTCTTGAACAAATGGACTCACAGATGGATGGACATACAGACAAATGCACAAACTCTTTACAATATATAGCAGATTTGTAGGACAAAACAAGCTGTCTCTTTGCAACTTTCATTCCCTCAGTTTTCTTCATGAAAAGGAGAAGAGGAAGAAAATGGTAGATAATTCTAGCAACTCCCTGGTGTTCATTCTTCAAGCAGTCACTTCAGTGATAGGTGAAACAAAGGGAACTAATGCGAGAGCAGAAGGCTTAAAGAAACGTCTCTCAAGTGGGGGAGCTTTGTTTTTCACATGCAGGCACATTGACTTTTCTTGACTCCAGGTACTGTCTCTCTACTCACAGGCAAGCAGGCTGAAGAACAGCATTAATTGGAGAGATTATAAAACAACAGGAAATTTGAATAAGAAGATAGTTTTAAATGGCTAAATCGGGGCTCTCTAGTTACATCTAACTCTCCAGAAAACAAGCAACTGAAATGGCAAAGGAAGGCTATATCTTCACTCAGGGATATCAGAGGGTGCTCCCATTGGCATCCGGTTCTCCTGCTCCTGCGAGGAGTACGGGAAGATGATTGGAGCATTTGTTCCCGTTGGCCCCCCGCTGTGGGGACGACGGAGAAACTCAAATTAAGGTACGTCGACTCCAGCTATGTAATTCATGCATCTGGAGTTGCATATCTTAATTCAACCTTCCCCTTCAGTGTAGACCTGGCTGAAGAATGGAATGGAGCATTATCATTAGCATGACCAACTATCTAGAGATTAATGAAAATCCCTTAACAGAAGGGTTGCTTTCTGATGGACAATTATCATTTTAATTGCCTTTTTGCAGCCACAGCACTGGAGAGATTTTCTTCAGAAAGGCACTAGGCTTGCACATTGCTAATAACAGGGAAGGCCTAATCCTGGAAAATTGGGTTAGCAACAAGATAGACAGCAACTGAAATTTTATTAGGGAAAAAGATGCTTTAAGCAGCTACTTTGGTGAAGTGTTCGAAGTTGCTCTGTCTCCTTCCTTCACCCTCCTGAGTGAAGTAAATACACATCTGGAAGGGATCCCTTACAATTGAATAAACGTAACCATTCTAGACTTGAGCTCGGCTTTTGATTATTATTCTAACCAACTAGTAGCATAAACCAAATGTAAATGGAGGGATGTTAAAAAGCATTTATTCAAGTAAACATGTAACCGCTGAAAATTTCAGCCGTTACAGGTTTACATATGGTGGGGGGAGGAGGTGACTCCTTCAGAGGCAGCAGCGCAGGGGAGACATGCAGCTCTGTGGGAGCCAGTGGCCATGGAAAGCCCACTTTTAAGCATGCAGTCTGTGAGTACAAGTTCCTGCCTATGCCTGCTCCCCATGCTGCTGCCTTATGAGTTAACCATTTACATGATCCTAACAGTAGGTCTGGAATTCAAGCCTGAGACAGCACCAGCTTATTCAAATAATCCCATTTAAGCACTTTATGCCGTGATCTTCTTTCTATATATTAAAGAAAATGTTTTCTGTTGGATGACAGAGTGACATCAGCATATCACTCTGTGGCCCCAGGAGCCCTGACCATGTGACTGCTCCGTGAAATGGGGGGAGGCACGTACCCCCTGGACCAGTGTCCACTGGCTTCTGGGCCTTGCCCCCAGCCTGCATGGCCCATGCGCCTTGGTTCTGTGCGGACTGGGCTCAGGTGCACTCTCCCGGGAGTTCCATTCTCCTCAGTGTTCGCCTGCCTCTGGGCTCGGTCCCCAGCCTGCCCATTCCACATGCCTGCTGCACAGCTTGACTCTGGGAAGCCTGGGCTCAGGAGCAGTGTCCCGGCCTACTGCGAGCTGGGCAGGTCTTACACCGTGGCCGCTTCCCCAGCTCTCCGGAGCAGCCACTTTGCACTCCGGGCTCGCCACAGAGCAAAGCTGTCCCAACAGGCCCATGCGGAAAGGCTGGGCTGGGGATGGGCTGTGGTTCCTGCTGCGGTGGCCAGGGCTGGTGGTGCACCTGGGGGAAAGAGGGGTGCGCAGTTCAACAAACTCATGGGAGGGTACAGGGTGTGTGTAGGGAGGGAGGAAGGGGGAAAGGGTGTATGTGGGGATGGACAGTGTGATAAGGGGGGATGGTGAAGGGGATATAGAATGGAGACAGGGGGTTGGACAGTGTGGAGGTGCAGAGGGGGAGGGGTTAGGGAAGGATGGGGTGTAGGAATGGAGGAGGGAAATGGGGGGTGGGATATCCAGTGTGGGATGGGGAGGGGGATGAGTTAGGGAGGATGGCAAGTGGAGGAATGGAGACAGGGGGATTAAATTGAAGTAAAGATTGTGGAGTGGAGGGAGGGAGGAAGAGTCCTGCCTGATGGGGTGCTCGGGGCTGGCCCAGTCTCAGTCCTGCCTGATGGCAGGGGGAGAGGCAGAAGAAGCAGGCCAGGGCTGCCA